GGGTGAAACTACACAGAAGGATGTGTTATCATGCAGTTTCTGTGGAAATTAATGTAAGCAAGATGCATAAAGGGCAAGACAAATCATTTTTGAATTAGGAACAGAATAGTCAAAACATGGTTATAATTAGAATATTTTCCCTTTAGTAAAAAGTTTTAGTTGTGGGAATAGAATATGAGTGCAAGGTGCTCTTACCCTGGCATGTAGGCTTTGGCTGGACTCTTTCCTGAAAAACAAGCCAATTGTGTGGTTAACACTTTATAGCTTGCACTGCTTATAGCCTGCTTTGGGCATAATCAATATTACAATTTCCTGTAGAGTCAATTTCAAGGCAGTCCAAGGATTAGACTGCAGTGTGGATTTCTCTGGGTATTTTAATGCAGATCTACTATGAGAAGCAAAGTAAATGATTAAAATATTTTGGAGTTTAGAAAATAAAGTTCTGTACATTTTGAGCCAAGGCCAGACTTGTTGCTGAAAATATCAGCATTTAAAATAGCTGTCTTAATTACTTTTCTTGTTGCTGAGACAAAATACCCAAAACCTACAGTTAAAGGGCCATCCTTGATCGCAGTATCACACACTGTAGAGCCAGCCACCTTAACCTTGACCATATGAGGTTTTTGGGGAAACCTAGATACAAGCCATAACAAAACTGAGCACATTACATTAACACAATAGAAAAGATGCCTTGAAAGCATCTCAGGAAATAGATTTCATACATAACAGGCTCAAAAGTTTAAAGGAGTACATTCTTTTAAAACTTACCTTTGTAAAGACAGTACTAGGATGCCCTGCTAATTTATGGCTGCCTAAGGAAGTATATCCTTAAATTCAGCAATTAATACACTCAGAGAGCCGGGCTTGTTGGTGCATGCCTGTAATAATCCCAGCACTTGGGAGGCTGAGGCAGGGTGATCCTTGCAATTTTGAGACCAGCCTGAGCTACATAGTGAGTTCCAGGGCAGCCTGAAATACATAGTGAAACCCTGTCTCAAAGAAAGAAAGAAAGAAAGAAAGAAAGAAAGAAAGAAAGAAAGAAAGAAAGAGAAAGAAAGAAAGAAAGAAAGAAAGAAAAAAAAAAAGACACTCAGAGGATGCTACAGCACAGATCCAAGTGGACCCAGATACTGCTTAAGTTAGTACAAGTCCTTGGCAGCATCCACACAGTGCTGGTTTTTCAGACATATAAAATATCAAGAGTTAAGAGATCACAGAGACCTCCATCCATATTTTACAAGGAGGCCTAGGAAGCCAAGCAAATATATGAGACAGGACCATAATATCTGCCAAGAACACTTAAAAGGTTGATGCATATAAAGCTACGATAATCAAGCTGAAGGAGCAGTGGAGATCTCAGAACACTGGTGAGTGCATAAATGTGAAATATTTGTTGAGAAAAACTAAAGGCAGCAGAGCCAGCGCAAGAGAGAAATCTTATGGCCTGCAACAGCAAGGCCATAGGGGAAGATTTGCCTATGCCTTATATCTTCATTACTTTCTCATTTTCTGGACAAAATAGCCAGCACCCACAAGTTTAAGAAGAAGAGGTTTTAGCTTACAATTTGTAGATGTTTCAATCCATAGTCACCTGACTCCATGGTAGAGGGGCATTGCAGAGAAGAAACAGTCCATGGCATGGAATGCAGGGAGCACCTATGCTTCCTTATTCTTTCCCTTTTTATTCCACCCATGCTACAAAACTATTGGTTGAAGCCACCCACATCCCGAGTGAGATTTCCCTATTTATCAAATCTACCATCCACACCCAGAACTATGCTAAATCAATCCATGACCTAATCCAACATCACATACCCATAGTCCAGTATCGCTCAAGATCCACAAGTCCCACCTGTGAGTGCATGAGGCTTTGTTGGACTATCTAGACACAAGCTGTAAGATACTGTCCCTGGTCTCCAGAAGACTCAAGCACATCCTTTTATGAAAAATGAATTTGGTCTATCTCTAAGATTTGCCAAAGTCTTAACAGTTTCAGCATTGCTGAAAATTTCAAGTACAAAATCTCCTGTGAAATTTAAGGCAAATTCTTGCCTATAAGCCCTTACAAAAATGAAAAGAAAGTTAAGCACATTGAACATACACTAGAACAAGATGAATATTCCCATTCCAGAAGGTAAAAACAGGGGCATAGAAAGAAACTGGACAAAAGCCAGACCAAAACTCAGAAGGGCAAATATGAAATCCTTTAGGTCCATGCCTAGCGTTTGGGGAAATCTGTGGCAAAATAAGAACTCTGACAGACTTGGGTGAGCCCACACTATGACATTGCTATTGGTTGTAGCCCTCATGACTTTTATCTTGGGCCTGGCTTTGCTCATTCCTTCTGGTTTACTTCATTCATTCCATGTGACTGGCTTCTCTAGCTTTTGGTTTTATATTCACAACTACACACACTGCCCTCTCAGGGGCATACTCCATAGTCTCCCAACGTTTCTTCTGAAATCTGAGTGGAAGCCTCCCTCCCTCCATGGTTCTTGCATTCTGCATGCACCTAAAAACCAGAATCATGTAGATGATGTTACTCACCTGCCAGCTGTAACAGCAGTAGGGTTTTCTTCTTTATTGGCTGTAAAGGACAAGTGCCTGGATGCTTGATCATATCCTTAGGAAGCAATTCCTTAGGCTTCCAGTATTCTGGAACACAGTGTCCTAGAGCTTTCTTCAAAACAAACTCTTTTACTCTTGCAATTTTGAGGCTACAAAGTGTGGAATCTTGTTGGTTCTTGTGAAACCCTCAAACCATTTTTCTAATGTCCTATTCCATAGTATTTGGCTTTTCAATGCTAATCATTTGAGTAACCAATTTTTCCTCTGTTTCGTCTTTGTAGGCTTCAACTTTACTGTAGCTTTCTTTCTGGCTGAACTCAAAACATTTTCCACCATTCTTCTGGGTCATTTGCTTTTGGTTCTCTAGGCACAGCTGGATAAAAGCCTCAACAGAACCCATGATATTGCATCAACATTAGACTGCCTTGAAATTTCTTCTGCCAGATTAATTACTCAATTTTCCTTAATCTCAGTTTCCTGCAGAGTCTCTAGACATGAGCAAGATACAGACAACTTTTCTGCCAAAGCATAACACACATGGCCAGGAGTTCATTACAAATGGAATCCTTTTTTCTCAACTGAAACTTCCTGAGCTTTGTGTTTACCAGCTGCATTTCTATCAGCATCTTAGTCTTCTGAGATTTGACTGGAATCCCCCATTAAGTTTGGCTTACAACATTCTAGGGCTGCTACTTTAACCAGCACCTCCAAATCTATCCAATCTCTGCCCATAAGGCATTTCCAAAGGCTTCTGAACCATATGATTCCCCCCTTGTTTCAAAATTCCTTAGCTACTGCTGCATTACTGTGACAAAACACCCAACAATCACAAGTTACAGAAGGAGAGGATTATTTTAGCTCTCAATTTGTAGAGGTTTCAGTCCATAATCAAATTATTTCAAGTCAAGGTAGAATGGCAAGAGAACAAACAGTTATTGGCATAGTAACATTCTTCTTTTCTTTTTTATTCTGTCCAATTTACAATCTTATTGTTGGTGCTACCCATACCCAGAACTATGATAAACAAGTTGGTGAACTGATCCAGTATCACATACCCATTATTCAGTATCAGATACTTATGGTTTAGTCACTCCCAAAAGCCTCACCTATGAGAACAAGAGACTTTAGAGGGACATCTAGATATAAGCCATAACACACTATGTAATTCACATCTCACCAATGCCTGACCCAGGTGCAGAACTACTGGATTTAATATTTGTCTTACCAGTTTTTGGTTCTGCTTTAGTCTACTTATTTTCTCTGTACTAATCAGTTTCCTGACACTGAGACACAATAACTGCTACTCACAACTTAAAGAAAATGTTTAATTTACTCATAGTTTCAGTCCATGATACCACAGTAGAACACAACTGCTTAATACATTGTGGCCCTGAAGCAGGTTAGTGGAAGAGCGTCAGAAAGAAATGTGTATAAGGCCAAATATAGTATCCAAGGCCATACACCCATGAGCTACCCAGAGTCAGGATCATACTCTAATAATCTGCTTGGTTTTTCTTAATCCAATGAAGTTGAAATTTCAAAATCAATGATTACAATCCACTGTGGTCCACTCCATATTCAAACACACTTCTTAAATTTACTTAGTATCCAATAAAGACAAAACAATATACCAGTCTACCTAACATAAGACAACTAGTTTGAGTACAATTGGCAATACACTTATGCCTTTCTCAAAGCCTCAACAATTCCAGCATCTTTTAAAAGTCCAAGTCTCTTCTGACACTGAAGGCAAACTTTTATTCATTAACCTTTGTAGAAATGAAAACAAATTATTCATTCACAATGTATAATGACGTAGGGTAACCATTTCAACTTCAAAAGAGGGTAGAGGGATAGAAAAGAATATAGGTGAAATAAATACAGATTTTCTTCCCAGAATATAAAACACATGGTCACTAATCCAACGTCCAATGGAATTTTTTGTTCACAACTGAAACCTCATTAGCCTGACCTTTACTGTCCACACCCCTATCAACGCTCTGATCTTTTGTGCTCAGGTCAGAATCACCATCAAGCTTTGTCTGCAGCTTTCTAGGGCTTATTTAGTCTACATCTCTAAACATTTGTGATCTCCTCTCATAACTTATTCCAGAGGTCTCTAAATCATATAGTCAGATTCAGACATAGTAATCACCCAATCTCTCTGCTATTGATTTTCTTTAACAATCACTTTTGCCATCATTGAGATGCAATACCTAAATTAAAAGAGGAAAGATTTATTTTACTTATAGTTTTAACCCATCATAGACTAGCTCTAACACTGAGACATCATGTTAGAATGGCCTGGTAGTGCAAAGCTGCTTAGTTCTTATCAATTAGGAAGTACAGCAGAAGCATGCGAAGAGAATGGCTCAGGAACTATATATAGCTCAAAATTCCATGCCTCTGTGACCCACCCGACAAATCCAGAATGCTTTACTAATCTTCAAGGCAAGTCTTAATCCAATGAAGCTGACATATCAGGATCAATGGTAACATCTCCCTTTAGGAATAAGAATGTTTACTCTGTCTACGTATATTGAGAGTATTTAACTTTGATTTTCATGGAGACTCAACTAAGAGATTGCCATGGGAAACATTGGACTTGGACTTTTCAGCAAAATGCTAGAATTGTTAAAACCTTTGTGGATTTTAGAGATGGTCTAAACATATAATGAAGTGGGCATGAGTCTTTTGTGGCCCAGGGATGGAATGTTTTATTTTAGATAAAACCTAATTCATGTTCTGGTAAAGTCTCATGTGTTCAGAATGGGGACTGGTTGGAAGAGGTGGGCGACCTGAAAGGGTATGTACTTGTGCCTGGCTCCTCTTCTCTCCCTCACTATTTCCTGGCTTCCATAATTTTATCAGCTTTCCTCTGCCATGTTCTTCTACCTGTGTTTCTGGCATGGAGTTAGAAACCTCTGAAGCTTTGACCCAAAGCAAATCTATCCTCTTTTATGTTTCAAATGTTTGATATTTTGTCAAACAGGTGGGGAATTTATACATCTACCTCCATCTATTTTAGTCCATATTTGCTTCTGGATCCATATCTACATCTGTCTCTAGCATTGTATCTGTATCTATATCTGTTTATAAAGAATGTATGTATAATTGATATGAATCCAATATTATTGGAATTATTATATTTGTATTGTATTAATGGTTTATACCCATTTCTTTTTTTAATTTTAAAAGCATCCATTTGGGGTTGGAGTGTGGCTTGGTTGTAGAGTACTTGCTTAGTATGTGAAAAGACCTGAAAGCGGTCCCAGCAGAACAAATAAATTTCCACATCATTTTAATGTATCCAGTGAAGCCTAACTAGTCCAGCTCTAGATTCATTAATTTCCTGAGAAGTAGGAAATGTGACAGGAAAGGTTACAGTATTAAGCAGCATTTCTGAAAAATTCAAACAGAAGCTCCTCTGTATGTACCTGACAAATACAAATCTATGCATCTGTAAAGCTTTTGCCTTTCACCCGTTTCTCTTTTCCCATTCTAGGTAGTCTGTAAACAGCCGATTTGTCTGTTTTCTCACATTGCTTACTTTTTAGTTATGTTTTTATAGAATCAATCACTTTATTATATAGCAGTATTCACAGGTCTTTCACTTCTGCCAGATTGAACACCTCAGTGATTGATATCATTTTTACCTTCTTTCTGCAGCTCCTCATTCAGAGCCTGGCACATGGTAAAAACTCAGGTAAGATTGTTAAATCAGTATGAAATTAAAACTTTGGCAAAATAAGCAGCATTTCAAGGCAATGGGTTTATTCTCTTTTTTTTTTTTTTTCAGTCAAGACCGGTGAAAATGGTATTTACATTTTCATTTTTTCCTTGGCCCTTAAATTACATTCCTACTTCTGGAAGAAAACTTTGTCTTTCAGCGCTGTGTATATCATTCTTCTTTAAAGGAATTGGCTGAACTTCTGTGAAAATTTGATTTCCCTGTATAATTGTTACAGAAACTTAGAAAGGAAAAGATCCATGCCTATGAAAAATGTAATAAGTCCCAGTATAAGCTTTTGTGATGCATATTTAACTGCTTTGTTTGTGAATTTCAGCTAAGGAAACAGATTACCTTCTTCATGTGCTAATACCCCAGAGTTCTTGGTATCAGATTTCCAGGTAAGGGATCTTCTTTTTTATATAGGACTGAACATTAATTTATAATTTATCTTCATTTCAAAATTGAAACCCTATTTCAAAAGTGCTTAAAATATTTACATAGAAAGCTTTACCTACTAATGTCTAAGTATCTAGGGAATAACAAAGATATAAATATAATATTTCTAAAATATATAAATCTTTGGTTTCAAAGTTGTATTGTGAAAAAGTCAAAAGATTAAATTAATATTATTTTATTACTAAAGATTTCAGTATATCTTTGTATTTCTCATAAACTTTAACTTTGCTTACTTACAGTTTTTTTGTGTCACTGTTATGTATACTTTCCACTACAAGCTTTAACAATCCTGACAGCAGTGTTAAATAGTAAATATACTCTTCTCCTCATATACATCACTATACACAAAAGTACAATATTAATAAGACAGTTGTCAGTGTATTAAAAATTTAAAAATTACATATAAATGTTATATAAAATGCTTGCCAAATATCAACTATGTAAGAGATATTTTAAAAAGTTCTTTAAAGTTCATTAAACAAATGTTTTCTTAAAGATTTTCCTTGAAGCAAAGCAATTTAATTTTCCTTTTCATATTATTCTCAGTGCTTATAAACTTAATTAGCTTTGTATGCTTCACATTTATTTTCATTCATGTTAAATTTAATCTTTTCTTAGCACAACTTTACAAAATCAAAATATGAACTATAAAGGTGTAAGTTTGATTAGTGGAACAAGAACAATAAATAATCATAGTGATGAGATATTAATTGGTGTCTGGGTGGTTCTATTAATAGTAACTTTGAGACATGTCCTTTACTGTTCAACAATATTTTCCAGAGCATTTATTATAATGCCAATTATATTACACTTGAAATTCATAGGTATTTAAACAGCACAAAAGAACAAGAGGTGGATAAAAAGCCCGTGTCTTCTAATAAAGCAGTGTTTAAAATTAAGGTAACCCATTTTGCAAAGCTTTATTTTCTCAAATTTCAGTGTCTCAAATAGGAAAGTTATGAGGCTTTCATTTTCTCAAAAATCATGGCTAAGATATATTTGCATTTTGAGATTAACCAATTTTATGAACAGATTTTTCCCTTCCCAAATGCATACAAGAAACATTAATTCAACTGTACCTGGAAGGTAAAATTTCTTTTCATAGAAATTATCTTAAATATGTTCAATATGCAGTGATATTTTAAATACATGTGCTGAGAGGGAATCTTGAATTGTTGCTTGGAGCATTAATATAAATAGTGGACACTTCTGACTGCATAAGTTCATACAGAAGTAAAACAAAGTAGTTATTATCTTGTGCATTATATTTCGTATAGACAATTTCAAGTGTTGAGAGGATGAAAATATTCATAGATTTACTCAATTAAGATATCTGTATAATCTCAACTCACCAGGTAATATTCAGTTATTATACAGTTAAAAACATAATTTTATAAACTTTCCCATGTTTCTATCTAATAAGCAAAGAAAACTCTTTAGATATAAGCTTTAGCAAAGAAATTATTCACTAAAAGGAGTTATGTATTTCATTAAAACATAATTTGAAGTTATAATTTGCATCATTTTGTTTCTGTATAATACTTATAACAACATGTAAAATAATGCTAACTTTAGATGTTATGATAGCATTATTGCACTCCTCTAATAACGTCTATATTTTACTGAGTATTTTCTGTGTTTTAGGAATTAGGATAAACTCTTTAAATAGATTATTTCCTTTTATCCTTTCTAGAATTTCACAGAAATGATTATAATGCCAATTTGTAGATAACAAGCTTGAGGCTTGAAGAAAATAAACTTGTTCAAAATCCCATAGCTAATGTGTATAAAAATGAGGTTTGAATAAAGGGTAGTGTGTTGTCAAAATATCTATCTTTATGAGAATAATTCAAATAAATATCTAAATTAGAAGTTATACACAATTTTATAGGCAAATATAAAAATAAAAATATGGGCACCAAATACATACAAGTAGACTCTTAGGTGTAACCACAGTTAATATTTTATTGTCTATCTTTACATATACGAATGTAAACATATCTAGTAAAATGGATTATGGGATACTTTCATTGTATTTCTACTTAGGAATCAGTCTGATTATTTTTTTTGAAAGTTCATATAAGATTATCTTTTTCTACTTCTTAAGAACCTAACAAAGTCTTACATTGATACATCTCATACCTAGTTCATGTTCCTTGGCTTTTAGGTTTTACCTTTTACAAATAATAATTTATGTGTGTAATTATTTGAATGTATCTGTCAAAAATATTTGTAAGTGATATAGAAGGGCCAAAGGTCATACATGTATTTAAAAATGTGACAAACACTTTCATGTTTCATTCTAAAATGGTTAAGCAAACTAACATACTCTAAAATTCCTTTTAAAAGTAGCTAGGCCTCCACATAATTTCCAGGACTGACTCTCCTAAGTATTTGTCATGGTAATTAGAAAGTAATTAGTTGAAATCTAATATTACAAATTATCAGTAATTTTCAAAAGTCACTATTATTCATTTTAGTTTCTCCATCTTCTTTTCATCTTTTTAAAAAGCCAAGTTATTTATATTTATAATTGATTTAATTCACAAAATTATTTCTATTTCAACCTTAGTCCTCTGCCTTTCAATTGCTTTTCAAACATTGAATAAATTGCAAATTATCTTTTCTCTTTGGTTGTTATACTTTTTGGGGCACTATGTATAAATTTTAGGTAGTCAAATTCTACATGTTTTAGTCTGTATTTTGTGATAAATATAGACTAAAATTAGACTAAAACTTATTTTCCCTCTACTATAGATTCAATTATCCACCTATTTACCCTATTTAAAAACGTTGCCTATATAATTTAAAAATTCTCATATAAGAATCCCTCTATTGCCTGGCTTGGACTCAGAGCCACCTCTGCTGAGTGGCCAGGCCTGAACTACAGGCCTCCTCCTGAGCTGCGCTGTTTCCAGTGGGCCCCAGTGATTGGCTCCAACACAGCACCAGGAGGGTGAGTTTTGTGTCATAGCCCTGGCTTGGACTAAGAGCCACCTCTGCTGTGCGGCCCAGCCCGAACTATGGGCATCCTCTGGATGCTGCTGAGCACCATTGCACCCCCACCCCCGGCTATTAGATCCCCTGATTGAGCCAGTCCTTGGACGCACTCTGCACAGGCATGGCAGGCTATAAAGGGTGGTGTTTGTTCCTATTATATTCTTAATTGTATTGATAGTGATAAATGATAGGGATTGATTTGATGAGTTGTTTTCTCAATTATGAAAATGTGTATGTCAATAAGTCATGAGAGAATCAAAGACTGGGACGCAATGATATCAGGAAGATTTAATGACCCAAAGATTGAATCAAGGGCAACCCCACAGCAAAAATAAAGATGAGAAAATACTTAAGCAAGCCACAAAAATAGACTTCCAGTCCGCCAATGGCAAACAGTAGGGCAAAGGAGGATGAAAAATCAGATAGTGAACCTCCAGGACACTCAGAACTCACAGCACAGGAAGTAAAAAAAACCTGATCAATTAAGCTCTAGAAAAATTCAAAACAGAAATTATTTCCCAGATAACAAGAGAGATGGTGAGCAAAATGAAAGACATTATTTGAGACTCCAGAATAGAAGCTGACAAAAAAAAAAAAAAAAAAAAAAAAAAAAAAAAAAAAAAAAGACAAAAGGAATGAAAGCCCAGCATAAGAAATGGAAACAATGAACACCCAACATAGGAAAGAAATGGAATCCATTAAACAGATTCAAACAGATATCCAGCAGATTAAAAACTGTATTGAAAGTGTATGCAACAGAATAAAAGATTGCGAAGATAGAATCTCAGATATAGAAGCTAGGATAGCAGACTGTGACCATGAAAAGAGAGGTCTCTTAAAAACAGTAAGGGAGCATGAGAAATCAATCCAACAACTCCTAGATGATGCAAAGAAGAATAACATAAGACTGATAGGTACCCATGAAGTACTGGGAGAAAATTAAAATGACTTAAAAAAGCTGTTCAAAGAATTAATGACAGAAAAGTTCCCAAACAGAGGGGAAGAATTAGACATACAGATAAGCGAGGCATTTAGAACACCAACTAGCCATAATAAAAAAAAAATCTACACCTAGACATATAATAATCAAGATCCCAGAAACCCACCCGAAGAGCAAAATACTACAAGCAGTAAGAGAAAAGAAACAAATCACATGCAAAGAAAGCCCACCAGAATCACAGCAGACTTTTCAACACAAATCCTCAGGTCAAGGAGAGCCTGGAGTGAGGTATTTCAAGTCCTAAAAGAAAACAACCTACAACCAAGACTGATGTATCCTGCAAAACTCTCTTTCAAAATGGACAGAGAAATAAGATACTTCCATGACAAAGAACACTTGAAAACTTCATGAATTCTAAACCAGCACTACAAAGAATTCTAAACAATATCCTAGAAAACGACAATGAAGATTGCAACACCAGGAGGCTCAACAGAGCAAATCAAACAGCCAAGGCAAAAAACTAAAAGGAGAGGACAAAAAATAAAAAGATTCAACAAAAGGACAATAACATGACAATAATAAGTTAGTAAATATCAGTTACAGCTATCAATATCAATGGCCTCAATTCACCAATCAAGAGAAATAGATTGGCAGAATGGATAAGGAAGCAAAATCCAACAATATGCTGTATACAAGAAACACACCTAGTGCAAAAATAATCCCATAGACTGAAAGTGAAAGGATGGAAAACAATTCTGTCTGTGACAGGAGCCCAGAAAAAAGCAGGGATAGCAATCTTATTCACAGACAAAGCAAACTTCAAACCAAAACTGATTAAGAGAGGCAAAGAAGGCCACTACCTCCTTGTAAAGAGAGCAATCCAAGCGGAAGAAATGATAATCATAAACATAAATGCACCAAATATAAATGCCCCCAACTATATAAAACAAATATTAAGTAACATGAAAAACCAAATAACCACTAATATAATTGTAGTGGGGG